AATGTCCACTTCAAATGTCTAAAATATCAAACTACAGTGAATTACTGAGCCCTTTGAAAAAAAACACATAATTTTTTAAGAATTTACATCTTCAGTAGGGACCGATGGGCAGAGTGTCACAGACAGGGTGGAGGAAAGGACACATTGTGGCTCTTCTTTCAGGAGAGCAGAGATTTTATTTTATCTTTAAGACTGCAACTAACATATATACAAGTATCTTATCAATCCCAGTTGTATCAATGATTAAATGTATAATGCAATACAAGTGAACAGCACAACCCCCCCACCAAAACAAAAAAACATTCCACATTGGATATAAGTATGTATTTTATGTATGAAGGAAACTTTTTCCAATTTCCAAAACTAGCATTAACTAACTGTTTACATTTAAGCCACAGCAGCTAATTAATCTGCTGCTGTCCTGCCTCATAGAGTAAACATTTCTTCAAGGTAATCCACTATTTTTACAAATTTCATAAATAGTTGTTGTAGTAATGAACCGCTGTTCTCTGCTTCCTCTCTGGCCCACTTTTCCTGTGCTTCTTTTAGTTTTTTGATTTCCTCTTCCATTTCTTTTTTCTGAGCTACCTCTAACTCAAACTTCTTCTCCATGTCAGCCTTTGCTTCACTCATTTGTTGCTCGTACTTTTCCTTCATTGTCTTCTCCAGTTCCTCCCGCTCTTTGCACATTTGCTCTTCTTTCTCTTTCAGGATTCGTTGTTTCTCCTCTTCAATCGCTTTCTCTGCTGCTTGGAACATTTCAGTGGTGTAATGGCTTCCTCCGTTCTTCTCTGTTATATCTCTGATCTTGTTGAGCAGCTCTCTGACCTGAGAATGATCCTCCAGTTTGTTATTGAAGACGTGGTACTGGCCGTTACATTTGGCCACAAGTTCCTGCAGGTCTTTGCTTTCCTCCAAGAACTCTTCAATCGATTCCTCTTCGAGCAGGTCACCATGGGTAAAGAGAACCATACTGTATTTATCTGCTTCCTCTCCAAAGATTCTCTGAATCTTCTGCACAGTCTTCTTCTCTTCCTCTGTGAATCTGCCCAGTCTGATGATGACCAGGAAGATGTGGGGTCCAGGAGAAGCATAAGAAATGCTCTGGACAATATCTTTAATTGATTTCTCTTCATCAGTTCTGGTGTCAAACAGACCTGGAGTGTCGATAACAGAAACCTTTTGTCCATCCACCTCACCACGCGTCTTAGCACAGTGGACAGTCAAAGATTTAGGGGAGAACTTTGATTTAAAGCTCTTATTTCCCAGAATGGTGTTTCCTGTAGCGCTCTTCCCAACTCCAGTCTTCCCCACCATCACAATCCTGATCTCCTCGTTGTTGTATCTGGTCAGTTCTGAGGAGACCCCTGAAAAACAACAAACAAGGGAAAATATCCTGAGCTCTGATGTCAAAACCTACAATAAAACCAAATGTTTTTGTTGTAAGTTAGTATTACTGTATTTAGATTCCAATAATGTTTTCCCAGAATGCATTGAAAATCTACAGTAACATACTGTACACAGCCTATACAGTAAGAAACAGTTGAGACTACGTAATACTGTGCAAACACTTACAGTGAGATGAGGGGGAAGAATCCAGCGGGTATCCAGTACATCCCGTGGATGAGAGCTGGCTGCGGTCTTGGCAGGATGGTGCAGCGGGTTGGTGATCCTGGAGACAGAGAAAACAGGAGGAAACCTTACAACCAACATGCAGGCAAACACACTACAACTAGACTGACAGTGAAAAACAAAGTAGCTTAAAGAAAAGAACAAACTGTGAGGGGTGGGCTACCGTGACCCTGCGTGGACCGGCTCTCAGTGCTGTGTTCAGAGGAGTGGGGATTTCCTGATGGCGGGCTGGTTAGCTGATTACTGATGACGAGCAGGTGAGCAGTGAAAGCCAGAGCCAGGAGCCAGCCTGAGGAAGGGAGCCCACACCCACATACACACACACACACACACACACACACACACACACACACACACACACACACACACACACACACACACACACACACACACACACAAGCACAGGAGGGAAACAAAACATTATTATTTTGTGGTATCTTAACTCGAGGCACTGGTTACACAGCAGACATTTTGACTTGTCACAGCAGGAAAACACACAGGTGGACTTCAATAAAATCCATTATCAGCTATGTTCTCTGTGTGTAGCATGAAGGGACTACAACTTTCTTTTCACCGTGCAAACATGTTGTAAGATGATTAAACAAATGTTGTTTGTACCTTGTAAACTGGTTCAGACAGGTCACTATAGGATTGTATTGCATGTGTTTATATTATTTTGCCCACCTGTAACTGAACAAGGCTATAGGTTCAGTAACACCTCTGTCTATATAATGCAGACAGTGTACAGACAAGTGTTTGGAAAATGCTTCTTGTTCAATTCAAGCTGCCGCCTTTACAACTTGATGTTGGTTCATTGCTATATTCAGACACAAGTTATAATCATTCTAGGTTATTTACTTACCATTTCTGCCAGTGTTGCTGGCCATAGTTGAGTTATGGAGAGAAGAGCTGCTCTGTTGCTGAACTGAAGGAAATCTGTCTTCAACAACACGTCTTTGTATGAGGACTTCATGCAACAAGCCACACCTATAAAACACTGCTGACGTCAAAGTGCATTGAACACTGTGTTTAAAGTCCTGCTGCAGTAGGATGTTTCATTAATGAACTCTAACTGGGAATGTATGTGTTTTAAACCCTTCATATTTACTAATGTCATGGTGTTTTATAGGTTACATTAAAATACAACTGACCATCTTTTGGTTAATTTCTTTTCAGACTCATTTTCTACTCTCATATGTTTTCCTTATTCACAGCCTTGATTGTTCCACTTCCTCTTTATAAGCACAACTTGAATATTCAGCCTTCCTGCATTTCCATAGTCCTTTCTGCTAACTGCAAACAGCAAACCCTGTTCAACTAGTGCCAGCCCTAACTTGCCCTAACTGGCTGGCATTAGTGACGTCAATGTCAGGAGGGGATGGGCTGACATAGTGCCAGTTGTCATTCAAAACAAGCTCACCTCTTCCTCGCTTCAGTAGCAAGAAGGGTGGTATATCCATATATCCATAACCTTAAGTTCTCCTTCATAGCATTCATTTTGTGTCTCATTATGGGAGAAAATACTGACTCCCGGATTGCCAGACATGCTGAGGCCTGGTAGCTGTGTGTTGCACATGTCAAGATCCAGGTGAGACTACAGCGAGGGTTGGTTACCTGCCCTGACAGCGGGGGGCTTTCCCCTCAAACTGCAACCTTCACTGCTAGATGCCACTAAATGTTACACACTGATCATTTAACGCTGCAACAAAACATCACGACATGAGAACAGTTTCTTCCTGCCTGTTTTCAGTTCAATTCAGTTTTATTTGTATAGCACCAATTCATAACAAAAAGTTATGTCAGAACACTTTTCAAATAGAGCAGATCTGGACCGTACTGCTTTATAAAATACAGAGACCCAACAGTTCCCACCATGAGCAAGCACTTGGCGACGGTGGCAAGGAAAAACTTCCTTTTAAGAGGCAGAAACCTAGGACAGACCCCGACTCCAAGTGGGTGGTTGTCTGCCTCCCGAACCACAACTGGAAGCTGGTTCCACAGGAGAGGAGCTTGGTAACTGAAGGCTCTGGCTCCTGTTCTACTTTTAGAGACTATAGGAACCACAAGTAGCCCAGCATTCAGAGAACGTAGTGTTCTAGAGGGGTAATAGGGTACTATGAGCTCTTTAAGATATGAAGGGGCCTGACCATGAAGAGCTTTATAGGTGAGGAGGAGGATTTTAAATTCTATTCTACATTTTACAGGGAGCCAGTGCAGAGAAGCTAGTACAGGAGGGATGTGATCTCTTTTTCTAGTTCCTGTCAGTACTTGTGGACTAATACATCTTAAGGAGTTGCAGTAATCCAGTTTAGAAGTAACAAATGCATGGATTAGTTTTTCTACATCTGTCTGTGATAGTATGTGTCTAATTTTTGTAATATTATGTAAATAAAAAAAGGCAGTCGTAGAGGTTTGCTTTATGTGGGAATTAAATGACGAATCCTGATCAAAGATAACTTCAATATTCCTGACAGTGGTGCTAGAGGCCAATGTAATGCCATCTAGAGTAACTATATCTTTACCTATGATCAATGAATGATATTAAGAAAGCACGTCTCGTTAATTATCAGCTTTATTTCATGATCACCTTACTCAATACAATCTACTCAACATTTACTGATCATCTTGTACATTTATTAATATTAATACAAGTGAGGTTTGCTTTATTTGACATTATGAAACAGAGAACATTACAGCACACACAGGATGTTAAAGATGACACAGTGTCCACTTCAAATTTCTAAATCATCAACAGCAAAACAATTACAGGATAAAAACGATATATAACATAAAGCTAAAACATCAAGCTTACATTTCCACATTGGATATAAGTATGTATTTTATGTATTAAGGAAACTTTTTCCAAATCCTGGTAGCACAGAATCTGAAGGAACAGGAACTAGTGGCATCCAACCTCTGCAAGCACAAATCAGCAACTCTAGCTGTAGGCTGGTAGACATGAGTTCCCCCTTCTCTACACAACTGTCTGTGAGATACTCAAGGGCTCTGTTATAAATATTGTGTTATTATTATTGTGTCAATCTAAGTCTGACACTTATGATCAGAGTTAGATACTTAATCCACAAAATCCAAAGACCAGTATTATGACATGGAGCACAATAGCACACTCCTTACAGGATAGGATAAAAGATCAAACGCGACAATCTGAAGTTCTTATGTAATTAAATGCTCATTAAGTAACTGTTATTATCACAAACCTGGCACAATGAGGAAACCAAAAACTGGAATGTGAATGTTAATAAAGTCACAGCAGCCAGTTCATCTGCTGCAGTCCATCACAAACTCAACAATGGCTTTAAATAGTTTTGAAGTAAATATGGAATCACTTTGTTAATAACCCCAAGTAACACTTGGAGTAATGGACTACTGTCCTCTGCTTCCTGTCTGGCCAGCCTTTCCTGCTCTTCTTTCAGTTTTTTTATTTCCTCTTTCATTTCTTTTATTTGATCTGCCATTAATCTTTTATTCATGTCAGCCTTTGCTTCCTTCAGTTTTCGCTCAAACTTTTCCTTTAGTTTCTTCTCCAGTTCCTCCCGCTCTTTGTGCATTTGCTCTTCTTTCTCTCTCAGGATTTTTTTTTTCTCCTCTTCAATCGCTTTCTCTACCTTCTGGAACATTTCAGTGGTGTAATGGCTTCCTCCGTTCTTCTCCGTTATATCTCTGATCTTGTTGAGCAGCTCTCTGACCTGAGAACGATCCTCCAGGTTGTTATTGAAGACGTGGTACTGGCCGTTACATTTGGCCACAAGTTCCTGCAGGTCTTCACTTTCCTCCAAGAACTTCTCAATCGATTCCTCTTCGAGCAGGTCACCATGGGTAAAGAGAACCATGCTGTATTTGTTTACTTCCTCTCCAAAGATTCTCTGAATCTTCTGCACAGTCTTCTTCTCTTCCTCTGTGAATCTGCCCAGTCTGATGACGACCAGGAAGATGTGGGGTCCAGGAGAAGCATAAGAAATGCTCTGGACAATATCTTTAATTGATTTCTCTTCATCAGTTCTGGTGTCAAACAGACCTGGAGTGTCGATAACAGCAACCCTTTGTCCATCCACCTCACCACGGGCCTTAGCACAGTGGACAGTCAAAGATTTAGGGGAGAACTTTGATTTAAAGCTCTTATTTCCCAGAATGGTGTTTCCTGTGGCGCTCTTCCCAACTCCAGTCTTCCCCACCATCACAATCCTGATCTCCTCGTTGTTGTATCTGGTCAGTTCTGAGGAGACCCCTGAAAATCAACGAACAAGGGAAAATATCCTGAGCTCTGATGTAAAACGTACAATAAAACAAAATGTTTTTGTTGTAAGTTAGTATTACTGTATTTAGATTCCAATAATATTTTCCCAGAATGCATTGAAAATCTACAGTAACATACTGTACACAGCCTATACAGTAAGAAACAGTTGAGACTACGTAATACTGTGCAAACACTTACAGTGAGATGAGGGGGAAGAATCCAGCGGGTATCCAGTACATCCCGTGGATGAGAGCTGGCTGCGGTCTTGGCAGGATGGTGTAGCGGGTTGGTGATCCTGGAGACAGAGAAAACAGGAGGAAACCTTACAACCAACATGCAGGCAAACACACTACAACTAGACTGACAGTGAAAAACAAAGTAGCTTAAAGAAAAGAACAAACTGTGAGGGGTGGGCTACCGTGACCCTGCGTGGACCGGCTCTCAGTGCTGTGTTCAGAGGAGTGGGGATTTCCTGATGGCGGGCTGGTCAGCTGATTACTGATGACGAGCAGGTGAGCAGTGAAAGCCAGAGCCAGGAGCCAGACTGAGGAAGGGAGCCCACACCCACACACACACACACACACACACACACACACACACACACACACACACACACACACACACACAAGCACAGGAGGGAAACAAAAGATTATTATTTTATGTTATCTTAACTCGATGCACTGGTTACACAGCAGACATTTTGACTTGTCACAGCAGGAAAAAACACAGGTGGACTTTAATAACAGTAAAAGTGTCCCAGTGACAGTGACAGTGAACCCACGCACACAATAGCAGGGCCTCCCCTTACTGGAATGAAGCAGTCATTCATGCGCCTGTGAGCTTCCTGCTAACATATTTCAGAATGTGTGCAGTGCAAACAGTCCATTATCGGCTATGTTCTCTGTGTTATAGGCTCAGTAACACCTCTGTGTGTATAATGCAGACAGTGTACAGACAAGTGTTTGGAAAATGCTTATTCAAGTCAAGCTGCCGCCTTTACAACTTGATGTTGGTTCATTGCTATATTCAGACACAAGTTATAATCATTCTAGGTTATTTACTTACCATTTCTGCCAGTGTTGCTGGCCATAGTTGAGTTATGGAGAGAAGAGCTGCTCTGTTGCTGAACTGAAGGAAATCTGTCTTCAACAACACGTCTTTGTATGAGGACTTCATGCAACAAGCCACACCTATAAAACACTGCTGACGTCAAAGTGCATTGAACACTGTGTTTAAAGTCCTGCTGCAGTAGGATGTTTCATTAATGAACTCTAACTGGGAATGTATGTGTTTTAAACCCTTCATATTTACTAATGTCATGGTGTTTTATAGGTTACATTAAAATACAGCTGACCATCTTTTGCTTAACTTTCCTATTTCTTTTCAGACTCATTTTCTACTCTCATATGTTTTCCTTATTCACAGCCATGATTGCTCCACTTCCTCTTTATAAGCACAACTTGAATTTCCATAGTCCTTTCTGCTAACTGCAAGCAGCAGACCCTGTTCAACTAGTGCCAGCCCTAACTTGCCCTAACTGGCTGGCATTAGTGACGTCAATGTCAGGAGGGGATGGGCTGACATAGTTCCAGTTGTCATTCAAAACAAGCTCACCTCTTCCTCGCTTCAGTAGCAAGAAGGGTGGTATATCCATATATCCATAACCTTAAGTTCTCCTTCATAGCATTCATTTTGTGTCTCATTATGGGAGAAAATACTGACTCCCGGATTGCCAGACATGCTGAGGCCTGGTAGCTGTGTGTTGCACATGTCAAGATCCAGGTGAGACTAAGGCGAGGGTTGGTTACCTGCCCTGACAGCGGGGGGCTTTCCCCTCAAACTGCAACCTTCACTGCTAGATGCCACTAAATGTTACAAACTGATCCTTTAACGCTGCAACAAAACATCACGACATGAGAACAGTTTCTTCCTGCCTGTTTTCAGTTCAATTCAGTTTTATTTGTATAGCACCAATTCATAACAAAAAGTTATGTCAGAACACTTTTCAAATAGAGCAGGTCTGGACCGTACTGCTTTATAAAATACAGAGACCCAACAGTTCCCACCATGAGCAAGCACTTGGCGACGGTGGCAAGGAAAAACTTCCTTTTAAGAGGCAGAAACCTAGGACAGACCCCGACTCCAAGTGGGTGGTTGTCTGCCTCCCGAACCACAACTGGAAGCTGGTTCCACAGGAGAGGAGCTTGGTAACTGAAGGCTCTGGCTCCTGTTCTACTTTTAGAGACTATAGGAACCACAAGTAGCCCAGCATTCAGAGAACGTAGTGTTCTAGTGGGGTAATAGGGTACTATGAGCTCTTTAAGATATGAAGGGGCCTGACCATGAAGAGCTTTATAGGTGAGGAGGAGGATTTTAAATTCAATTCTACATTTTACAGGGAGCCAATGCAGAGAAGCTAGTACAGGAGAGATGTGATCTCTTTTTCTAGTTCCTGTCAGTACTCGTGCTGCAGCGTTCTGAATTAATTGGAGCGTTTTAATGGACTTATTGGGGCAACCTGATAATAAAGAGTTGCAGTAATCCAGCCTTGAAGTAACAAATGCATGGATTAGTTTTTCTGCATCTGTCTGTGATAGGATGTGTCTAATTTTTCTAATATTACGTAAATGAAAGAAGGCAGTCCTAGAGGTCTGCTTTATGTGGGAGTTAAATGACAAATCCTGATCAAAGATAACTCCAAGATTCCTGACAGTGGTGCTAGAGGCCAAGTTAATGCCATCTAGAGTTACTATATCTTTAGACAATGAGTCTCTAAGGTTTTTGGGGCCAAGAACAAGAATTTCGTTTTTTTCTGAGTTTAACATCAGAAAATTGCAGGTCATCCAGGATTTTATGTCCGTAAGACATGTTTGTAATTTAGATAATTTATTAATTTCATTGGGTTTGATTGATAGATATAACTGCGTATCATCTGCATAACAGTGAAAGTTAATGGAGTGATTCTTAATAATGTTGCCTAAAGGGAGCATATATAAAGTAAATAGTATTGGTCCAAGTACAGAACCTTGTGGAACTCCATGACTAACTGTAGTATTTATTGAAGATTCATCGTTAACATGTACAAACTGCGAGCGATCTGATAAATATGACTTAAACTAGCTTAGTGCGGTTCCTTTAATGCCAATTTGATGCTCAAGTCTCCCCAAAAGAATATTATGGTCAATGGTGTCAAATGCAGCACTAAGATCTAATAATACAAGTACAGAGACAAGTCCATTGTCAGAAGCAGTCAGAAGGTCATTATTAACTTTAACCAGAGCTGTCTCTGTGCTATGATGAACTCTAAATCCTGACTGAAAATCCTCAAATAAACTATTGTTATGTAGAAAGTCACACAACTCTTTGGCGACTACTTTCTCCAGAATCTTAGAGAGGAACGGGAGGTTAGAAATCGGTCTATAGTTGGCTAAAACCCCTGGGTCAAGAGTGGACTTTTTAAGAAGGGGTTTAATTACAGCTACTTTAAAGGACTGTGGTACATATCCTGATAATAAAGAAAGATTAATCATATCCAGTAAAGAAGTGCCAATTAAGGGAACAACTTCTTTAAGCAGCCTAGTTGGGATCAGGTCTAATAGACAGGTTGATGGCTTCGATGAAGAAATGATTGAAGTTAACTGATGAAGATCGATAGCAGAAAAACAGTCTAAATATATATCTAAGTTTACATTGACAGAAGTCCCTGAACTTGGAGAGCCACTGATAACTGTTGATGGCAGTTTGTGATTAATTTTTTCTCTAATAGTAATAATTTTATTATAGAAGAAGCTCATGAAGTCATTGCTACTTAATGCACTGGACAATATCTTTAACTGTTTCCTCTTCATCAGTTCTGGTGTCAAACAGACCTGGAGTGTCGATGACAGAAACCTTTTGTCCATCCACCTCACCATCTGCCTTTTTACAGAGTGTAGTCAAAGATTTAGGGGAGAACTCTGATTTAAAGTACTGTGTTCCCAGAATGGTGTTTCCTGTGGCGCTCTTCCCAACTCCAGTCTTCCCCACCAACACAATCCTGATCTCCTCATTGTTGTATCTGGTAGGTTCTGAGGGTATATCAGATATTATTAATCTGCAGTTGTGTTAAGCACTTTCTGTACACTGTATTGTATTGAACTGAAAAGTACAGCTGTGGACCTTAATATTAGCCAAGTGTTTTCATTGAATGACTCTAACCATAGCACAATTGCCATGAACAGATATTTAAAGGTAGAACTATACAAATGTCAGCAATGGATGTAATGCAATGTCGGCATTGCATGTAATGGACAAAAAAAAGGTTGGGCAGACCCAAACAAGGAATTTTAAAGAAATAGTGGCCATTGGTGCATAAAACCATCGGATATGTGTTACCGGCACCAGACCTAGGGGAAATCTGGACCAGCAGCAAGGGTTACACAGGCTAGGGAGCACTGTGTAGCCAATACATAAACTGTGGATTGACAGAGAGATGACGAAAGTTAGCGTCTTGCTCATGCCAGAGCTTGTTTATTTCTGAGCTGAGCATGTGCAGAGCTTGTAGCTACAGTCTCCCTAATGGATCCACAGCAGCACTAGAGCACCACCTGCTGGCGTAATAGTGTACTACCTTAAGTGTTAGAATGAATCAATTATTACAAAAAATAGAGGGGGTGTCTGTTAAACACAAACTTAACATATGGTGTTATCCAACCCATTACATATGGTTAAAGGTCAATTTTGCACACAGGTAGCTAGAAAACTGTGAAGTGGATGTGTAGATGAGTAGAGGCCATATATCTGCTCTGTAAAACTCTGACGTAATCTGTCCTGGCTGTTAATCAAACTAGATTTCAGTCACACCTCCTCCCATTTGCAACAACCCTAACAACAACACAGAGGTGTTCACTGTAATTCAGCAGTGAACACAGATGGAGAGAGCGGCACAAGTCTGCTGAACTCTCTGAGAGTTGATGTACTCACCATGTTTGACTTCTTTGGGATTGCTGGCCATGTTTGGGTTGCAGAGTTCAGAATGTGTACTGCTGGAGTGAAGATTGTAGTTTGTGCATCCACACCTCTCAATATGAAACCTTCATTCACTGAACCACACCCATATCACAATGCTGACAACAAAGCACAATGAACCCAAGGTGTGTAAAGTTAACCTGTTGCAGTCTATGCCAGAAATCTGTTTGTGGGTTTTAGCTCCGTCTTAAACACCATTACCTCAGCTCTACTGCAGGAGCAGCTCTCCCAAATTAAGTTGCGACAGACTTCCTGTCTGACAGGAGGCAGCACGTGAAGCTGGGAAAACACATCTCTGACTCTTGGACCACTAGCACCAGTTCCCCTCACGGCTGCATCCATTCCTTAGTGCTCCAAAAACAGTGGAGATGGTTGTGGACTTAATAACACAGCCCCACACACCCCCATCACCTTGTGGGATTCCCCAGTTGATTATATACCTATATAGCACCAATTTTGTACATTCTCTTTTTTTAAAGAAATAACTATTGGGGTCGCAAACCTTGGTGACCTCACAGCTGGCTACGGCCATGATTGTCACAAGTTGACTGTTGTTGTCACTTTGGTCAATTCCCCAGTCCTCCTGGTGCCACTGGGCCTAACACATAGCAGGAAAGGAAAGTTGACCGATGCTTGCTCAACTGTTATTAGAGCCCAGAAATAGGGCGGGATTTAGGAAGGGCCATACATTATTATACTTTATAATAGTGGCTAGCTTACCTAAATTAATACATCATAATTTATTAGTTGTTCATATTTCGTACTAATATTTTGAATCTGTAAAGTTGTAACATCCTGTTAGTCATGTCTGTTTTTTACTGTTTTACGCTGGTAACAAACATTTCCTGTCATTTTAAAAGATGGATGGAGAGAGGGATATGATTTATTCAACATTCAACATGGATGACAGAGGCAATACAATGGACTACAATGAGTTCAGGAGTTCAAGTATAATATAGCATGTACTAGTAGAGGATAATGTGCAATAATTAGAGGAATTCCATACACCCTTATTCATGTGATCTACTGAAGGTTGCACTTTTCAGATAAGAAAATCATTTTTAAGATATTCTCTCACCAAGGAATGTTTTCCCTTGCATCTAAATTAAAGTACATATTGCAGGAATACACTAACATGGCTTCTAAGACAGTGGCTCCCAACTTGGGGGTCGGGACCCCCAGTAGGGGTTGCCAAAGCTTTATGGAGGTTCATGAGGCCTTAAGGCATCTAGGAAAACTTTAGAAATACACACAGTAGGCCTACAACTCTTCGTTCTACATTAATGTAAGCAATTCTAACAACCAAAGCAAATAGAATGAGAATCAGGGAGAAGAAAAACACTGAATTTGTCAGAACAGAAACCTATTAAGTCTGTATGATTCTTAAAAAATACAGACGGATTCTTGTATAAAAAGTTCCCAAAAACAGCAGAAAAACTCAATTTTCACGATAAATATTCGCTAATTTTACACAAACTTCCTGCAGTTGTGTTCACTTTTAACAGTTTATCAGTTGTTCTGTACTGTCATTATTATGCATTGAATATAATATGAAATAGCCATAAAATATGTAATTAAGTTGGGGGTCATCAGTTTAGTCAATGACAGACTCCCTTAAGGAACCACTGATCTAAGAGAAGTAGATGTGGATATATCAGTTCCCCAATACCTTCTAAATCTAAAGTGGTACATTTTAAAACAATAAATGATATTTATCCCTGCAGTGTATTTACGACTTAGATTGAACTTATGAATGTGTATTCTGTCAAACAGAAATAGAAACACAGGAACTTCTGATGTGCTCTTGTAATGTATCCAGTTTATTTTGGGAGGATTTTCACAAAGGGGTACTTAGTAATAGTTTGATTATGCCAGCTCTGACTTAATATTAGATTTAACAATGGAGAACAGAACATTTGAATTTGTATTTACTAACTTGATAATAATTGCCAAATACTTTGTACACAAATGTACATTTCTATAACCACCCCTCACTTTACCACGTTCTTGAAAGAGTTGTCTTTTTACTTGGATTCATTGAAACTGATCAGATGGAGGACAGACCAGTCTCTATATTGATATTTGTCAGTTTTTCCATTTGATTGGACCCCAGGCAGAAGATGAGATACATATATTGATCATCCACTCTTGCTTCTACTTTTTGGATGTGTCTGAGTTTCTCTTTAACCAGAAATTGTTAAAAAAAAAAAAAGTAACAAAAGCTGTGAGATAAATATAGTGAAGATACTTTGTGTATACAGGTCAATTTTATTTATATATCCCAATAACACAAATAACGTGGGTTCGTGGTTCTTTTCATTAACTACAAACAGTACACTCTGTTCACACGTCCCATCAGCATTTCCAGGAGATATTTAGAGTGTAGCCTTTAAAATGTAGTTCTTCACAACATGATGTCAAATGAACACGTGTGCTGTAAAGCCCGTCAGATAAATCTCTAAATACAAAAACTTGTAAACTCAGAAACCATTGAACAACAAATTCTGTTACACATTTAACATCTGAATTACTCCAGAAGAAGATCACTCAGTTGGTATCAGATTCATTATACAATCACATAGCATTGCAAAAAAATCTTTGTCTGACAATCTGAACATTTAGTGGTCAACTTGCACAGTTACTTACACCCATGAATTAACTATAATTATTATTATTATTATTATTATGCAGCTGATCATCATTACATATTGGAGCGATGAGGCTTTTTGTAGAGCTAATTAGATTTTTCTTCTGATTTACAGTCCATAACATTATAATTAGATATCATTATTTTTATATCTCTGTTGGTTCTTTATTCACAGGTTTTACTAACTGGAGTCCTGATTCGTGTTATGATTATGTATTGTCATGTATAGAATATTGTGTTTTGTGTGGACCCCAGGAAGCATAGCTACAGCTAATGGGGTTCGTAACACCTGAAATAAAATCAAATGAAATACCCAAAAACTTTGTCAATTGCACTACCTATTCGGCCAAAAAGTGTAGGACTTTTCTCAGCTTCCTGTCGAGCCTTCCTGTGCTGTTAAGCCCATCAGATAAATCTCTCAATGCATCTGTGAATGTTATATAAACTTAAAAATCAGACACCATGCTTTCTGTCCTTTATTGAACAATAAATTATGTTACACAAATGGCACAGTTATTTACACCCATGAACTAACTATTATTATTATTATTAGTAGTAGTAGTATGCAGCGGATCATCATTACATATTGGAGTGTTAAGGCATTTTGTAGAGCTAATTAGATTTTTATTCTGATTTACAATAGTCCAAAGTTACAGGTTTTACTAACTGGAGTCCTGATTCGTGTTGTGATCATGTATTATCATGTACAGAATATTCTGTTTTGTGTGGACCCCAGGAAGCATAGCTACTGCTTCGGCTACAGCTAATGGGGTTCCTAACAGCTGAAATCAAATCAAAACACATACCCAAAAAGTTTGTCAATTGCGTTACCTATTCGGCCGAAAAAGGAAGGACTTTTCTCAGCTTCCTGTCGAGCCTGCATTTCGTGACTTTTTCTCACTTCTATCATTTTTGCCTCCAATTCTCTTTCCAAGTTTTCCCTTAACTTTATTCTTTCCATGTCAATCTTCACTTCTCTCAGCTGTTGCTCGTACTTTTCCTTCATTGTCTTCTCCAGTTCCTCCCGCTCTTTGCGCATTTCCTCTTCTTTCTCTTTCAGGATTTGTTGTTTCCTTTCTTCAATGGCCTTCTCTGCTGCTTGGAACATTTCAGTGGTGTAATGGCTTCCTCCATTCTTCTCTGTTATATCTCTGATCTTGTTGAGCAGCTCTCTGACCTGAGAACGATCCTCCAGGTTGTTATTGAAGACGTGGTACTGGCCGTTACATTTGGCCACAAGTTCCTGCAGGTCTGTGCATTTCATCAAGAGCTCCTCAATCGGTTTTCCTTTGAGCAGGTCACCATGGGTAAAGAGAACCATGCTGTATTTGTCTGCTTCCTCTCCAAAGAGATCTTTAATCTTCTGCACAGTCTTCTTCTCTTCCTCTGTGTATCTGCCCAGTTTGATGACGACCAGGAAGATGTGGGGTCCAGGAGAAGCATAAGAAATGCACTGGACAATATCTTTTGTGGTTTTTGCTTCTTCAATGCCTGTGTCGAACACACCTGGAGTGTCGATAATGGCGACCTTTTGTCCATCCACCTCAACAAAGGCCTTAGCACAGTGGACTGTCACAGATTCAAAGGAAATGTCTGATTCAAAGGCCTTTCTTCCAAGAATAGTGTTTGCTGTGGCACTCTTTCCAACTCCGGTCTTCCCCACCAACACCATCCTGATCTCCTCATTGTTGGTCAGTTCTGATGAGATGGCAGAAAAAACAAACAAATATTAAGCACTCTGTGTTGATAACATCTCCACATTGGTCAGACTGAATATTAGAGCCTCCCCCTGTACAAAACTGTATTTATAATGAATTTTTTTCTTTGTACCTTGTATTTTTATATTTCTAATTTGTTATTTAATGTGTATTCATTTTTCTTCTTCTTACCTGCTATGTTTTATCTGGAGCTGTTGTAATGAGTGAATTTCCTCAGTGTGGGATCAATGAATCAATGAAGTCTATCTTATCTTGGGACTAATTGTTTTTTTCACTCTTTTTTTGTATACACAGAGGCTGAAATCACACACTTGTGGACATGCAAAGGGGAGAGTGATGGTGGAGTGATGGGGCTGCACATTACTGGCACCTCATGAGCAGGTTATGGGGTTAGGTACACAGGAGGTGAAACTGTGGCACCTCTGCAGCTACCAGTCCACATTCCGTATTTTGTGGTCTGTGGGACTTGAACCGGTGACCCTCCGGTTCCCAAGCCAAGTCCCTACACACTGAGCTACAGCTGCCCCTAAACTTGTTTAATGAAGTATGTAAATTAGGTTTAATTGATAAACATGAAATAACACCTTATTATCCAAAAGAAGAATGTACTCATGCTTATGAAACACCTCGAACAGAAGCTTAAAAATTAAATTCAGTGGCCAGTTTATTAGGTACACTTACAGTATCAAAACTAATCAGTAGTCTAATGCAACAGTCCTGAGATGAATCCTCCTTTCACAAAGGTTATTTTTGTAGAAACTGTTTCAGATGTGTTGATCTAATTGCATGTCATCTTGGTTTGTGGTGCTGTTTAACTGTATTATAGTTTCTATTATTTAGCAGAAACATATTTTGATAGATAAAAGTAAGCCTTTAAAGAGGAACAATACACAACTGCACCCTGATTGAAGAAAGACTTATTAAATGCTATATTTCAGTGTTTAGAATCTGTGTCTTTGCCATTATACAATAATACTGAGACGGCATTGCAGTTGCATTAAACGTTGCGTCTTTTTTCTAAGTTGCGCTTACAATTTAGTGAGAAACATGGGGTTGTCCTTGCATTGGAAAGCGGAATATTAAATATATATAATTTGGTTACCACCATAAGTGCCCACCCCATTCATTTGAATGAGTGTAGGGAAAATATCAGGAACACCTCTCTGTATAATTCAGACGGAGTGAGAGTGGCAGTGTATCTCCCAAGCTCCCAAAACATGCTGGAGATAATATTCTGTTCTTCCACTAAAACACTGCCCCCTTTAAAACAGCTTAATTTAGGCTATGACATGCTGTCCACCCATAAACACATATTCAGATACATATTGTAAGCAACATTATAAATAGGGTTTAATAACTCACCGTGTTTGTCAAATTTGCTGGTCATAGCTGGATTATGAAGTGAGAAGCTGGTCTGCTGCTGAGCTGAAGAAGTGAAGTCTGTCTGCAACAACGCTTCCTTATATAAGCCAACCATGTCCTCCCCCTCCCACCAGCATTCACAAGAAATTCACTCCTTTATTTTAAATGGAAAAGAATACAGAGCAGGTACACTCTGCCTCAAACCCTGTTCCCCCCTCCCACCAGCATTTACAGGAAATGCCACCATTTATTTTACACCTCCTCTTTGCAACAGCAAACCCTGTTCACCCTTCCCAAACAACAGCACACACACACACACACACACACACACACACACACACACACACACACACACACACACACACACATCCACTCCAGACAACAGCGAAGCAGACTACTGCTATGTTACTAAACTCCCATCCTTTAAACCTCTAAAAAACCATTAAATCAGCACCACGGACAGAGGCAGAAGTGTCAGATTTATCCACACCAATATGAAGCCTGATTTAGACTTCTACATTGGATGGTGGAAGCAGGAACTAGACTTTCAGTTCCAGTTTTCAGTTTTCCATTAAACAAGCATTTGTCATCTGGATAGCTGGGTGTGTGTGTGCTAACACAAAAATCCCCAAACTCCCCCAGAGCTTGTTTGATGAAAAACGAGAAACTGGAACTGAAAGTAAAATTCTTTCTTCCATCATCCAAAGTATTGTCCATTTAAAGGTTGGAGTTTGAGGCAGAGTGTACCTGCTCTGTATTCTTTTCCATTTAAAATAAAGGGAGTGCATTTCTTGTACATGCTGGTGGGAGGGGGAGGACAGGGTTGGCTTATATAAGGAAGTGTTGTTGCAGACAGACTTCACTTCTTCAGATGAGCAGCAGACCAGATCTTCACTCTATAATCCAGCTATGGCCAGCAAAGATGACAAACACGGTGAGTTATTAAACCCTATTTATAATGTTGCTTACAATATGTATCTGAATATGTGTTTATGGGTGGACAGCATGTCATAGCCTAAATTCAACTGTTTTAAAGGGGGAAGTGCTTTTGGAAGAATTAATGTAATTTCTAAGATTCTGTTGTTTTGTGTTTCATAAGCACGAGTACATTATTCTTTTCAAGATGGAAGTGTTATTTCATGTTTGTCAATTAAACATTACATTTACATACTTCATTAAACAAGTTGGAAGATGCAAAACCCAAAGGAGGAGAACCCTTTGGGTTAGAGTTGAGGACCTGTCCCATGATAAGATAAGATAAGACAAGATAGACTTCGCTCATTACAACAGCACCAGATAAAACATAGCAGGTAAGAAGAAAATAAATTCAATGAAACACATTAAATAACAAATTAGAAATATAAAAATACAAGGTACAAAGAAAAAAATGGAATATCAATATAAATACAGTTTTGTACAGGGGGAGGCTCTAATATTCAGTCTGACCAATGTGGAGATGTTATCAAAACAGAGTGCTTACTATTTGTTATTTTTCTTTTTCCGCCATCTCAACAGAACTGACCAACAATGAGGAGATCAGGATGGTGTTGGTGGGGAAGACCGGAGTTGGAAAGAGTGCCACAGCAAACACTATTCTTGGAAGAAAGGCCTTTGAATCTGACATCTCCTTTGAATCTGTGACAGTCCACTGTGCTAAGGCCTGTGGTGAGGTGGATGGACAAAAGGTCGCCATTATCGACACTCCAGGTGTGTTCGACACAGGCATTGAAGAAGCAAAAACCACAAAAGATATTGTCCAGTGCATTTCTTATGCTTCTCCTGGACCCCACATCTTCCTGGTCGTCATCAAACTGGGCAGATACACAGAGGAAGAGAAGAAGACTGTGCAGAAGATTAAAGATCTCTTTGGAGAGGAAGCAGACAAATACAGCATGGTTCTCTTTACCCATGGTGACCTGCTCAAAAGAAAACCGATTGAGGAGCTCTTGATGAAATGCACAGAGCTACAGGAACTTGTGGCCAAATGTAACGGCCAGTACCACGTCTTTAATAACGACCTGGAGGATCGTTCTCAGGTCAGAGAGCTGCTCAACAAGATCAGAGATGTAACAGAGAAGAACGGAGGAAGCCATTACACCACTGAAATGTTCCAAGCTGCAGAGAAGGTGATTGAAGAAAGGAAACAACAAATCCTGAAAGAGAAAGAAGAGGAAATGCGCAAAGAGCGGGAGGAACTGGAGAAGACAATGAAGGAAGAGTATGAGCAACAACTGAGTGAAATGAAGAATGACATGGAAAAGATGAAGTTAAAGGAAAAATTGGAAAGAGAAATGGAGGCAAAAATGAGAGAAATGATAGAAAGTCACGAAAGGAAGGCTCGACAGGAAGCTGAGAGAAGTCCTACACTTTTTGGCCGAATAGGTAATGCAATTGACAATTTTTTTGGGCTTCTGTTTTGATTTGATTTCATCTGTTATGAACCCCATTAGCTGTAGTTATGCTTCCGGGGTCCACACAAGACACAATATTCTGTACATGATAATGCATGATCACAACACAAATCAGGACTCCAGTTAGTAAAACCTGTGAATAAAGAACTTTGAAAAAGATATAAAAATAAAGATATGTCATTATAATGTCACCACAAAAAAAAGAAAACATCTCACCACAACAACAACAACCTACAAACACAATACAACACGAATTAGGATTAGTAAAACCTGTAATATTGGACTATTGTAAATAAAAATCTAATTAGCTCTAATAATAGTTAGTTCATGGGTGTAAGTAACTGTGCCAGTTGTGTAACATAATTTATTGTTCAATAAAGGACAGAAAGCATGGTGTCTGATTTTTAAGTTTATATAACATTCACAGATGCATTGAGAGATTATCTGATGAGCTTAACAGCACACGTGTGAAGAACAATCATGTTGTGAAGAACTACATTTCAATGGCAACACTAATATCTTCTGTAAATGCTGATGGCACGGGTGAACAGAGTGTACTGTTTGTAGTTAATAAAAAGAACCATGAACCCACAGGACTCATATTCCTTATTTTTAGGGTGTCACATGCTGTACAGACTGTTTTTTGTTTTATTGGTATACATAAATAAAATTGACCTGTATACACAAAGTATCTTCACTACATTTATCTCAGAGCTTTTGTTACTTTTGGAACAATTTCTGGTTAAAGACAAACTCAGACACAGAAAATCAGTCCAGCAACAGCACACATATCCAGACAAAGTCCATAAACAGAAAAACAAAGAAAACAGTCACTAGACAAATGCTGGGGAGCGATAATGACAGAACAAAGACAATCTGGTAAGGAACAAAGAAAACAGGGATGTATATACACACAGGATACACTAAGGGCAAGACCAGGGGCAGGTGAAGAATGGGGTAGGCTGATGGCAAAACCCAGGGGCAGCAGGAGTGGATGATCAAAACACGAAAGCAGTGAAAGCAAGTGAAATGACAGGAAATGTTAGTAGAAAATACAAATTTACCAGCATTGTAACTTCGGAAAATTACAGCTAAGACTGAACAATCCAGATGACAGATAAAATGACAAAATACATCAATAAAAATAAATAACCAAATAACATAAAATGTATAAGACATCAATCTCATCTTCTGTCTGGGGTCCAATCAAATCACAAACATCAATATAGTGACTGGGCTTTAATGCATTTCAATGGATCCAAGTAAAGAGACCTCTCTTTCAAGAATGTGGTAAAACAAGGGGTGTTTTTTAGAAATTCACATTTTGTACATACTGTTTGGCAATTTATGTCAAGTTAGTAAATAAAAATTATTATTTTCTGTCCTCCGTCATTAAAACAAATCTAATATTACTATAAGTCAGAGCATAATCAAACTATTACTCAGTACCCAATTGTGAAGGAAAAAAATGGATACATTACAAGAGAACATCAAGTGTCTCCACAGTGGGACTGT